AATGATTAACTTCGATGTATGCTTCCTATTCAGTAACGTAGCAACCATTGATACATAACAAATATTCCGCCAACAACTTGAAAATGATAGAACTCTAACCAACTGACAAACTCCACGATAAAAGAACTCGTAACCTTCTGTATAAACATGACTTGCTTCCAAACATGAAGATAAACACTCCCAACGACAAGAAGATCTAGCTAGCTATGATATCACCAACGCTCAATAAACTCTCAAACACAGCTGTGCTAAGTCCCGCAGTTTGGCTCAGATTAGTTGACCGATCACAAACTAGAGACAAAATTCAGCGATACAGTTCACAATGAAAATAAAGAAAGTTCCCGTTCCTCGGGCGATGGTTATCAAGAAACCAAAGACAGCGATAAATATCTGGACTATAAATCAAACCACTCCGACAGTTACCAGAATGCACCTTTTTATTTGAATATGGAATTTTTCGAAATTAGTCAGTTGCTCTAGTACGTGCATTGTTTCACACAATATGTGATTAAGCAGATTTCGTTCTAAGCAGTCTTTGTTCTTTGTCATTCTCTTGAGATAAAAAATGGCGTAGGAAGCCGGGAGAGCAACTGCCCCCCCCCCCTCAATTTGTTCAGTAAAAATGCTTCAAATTGAAAAAACATAAAATACTTTAAGGAAAAGCAGGTGAATGTATAAAAATTAATCAAGAACCCAAGAGCTTCCAGAGCCTTAAGGCGAGCCCTGGACTTATTTCACATAGTACAGCGCAGGTTACTGGTTAATGCTTCAATATTTAATGGACTTAACACTTTAAAAAGTAACGCTACATATATATTCAAACGTTTACTAGACAATAATACAAGTTTCTAGCTTCTTTTGCATTACACCGACAATTAACACGAAGACTCCTCAAACGCTTCTTATACCGTATTTGCACGGAAAAAAAAGAAAATGGTCAGAACGTGCAACCACTACTAAAAGTCTTAAGTACTCTTCAAACGTTACAATAAAGACGGGAGTGCCCTCTACCGCTAAAATAACCAACCTTCCAATTTTCGTCAGACTCTTGAGGTGGAACACCTGTAAAAGGAGACAATTCGGCGTCGTCGTACCCCGTTTCATCTTCGCCCAGGTCGCCATGGAAACCCACGGAGGAACCTGAATATGTAAATTGTCTGCTATGGCCACACTGTGAACGTAAGAAACGTAAACAGAATTAGGTGCACATAAAATAGCATGCAATTCACATTTATGAACATCAAAAGCTGAAAAAAATACACGAATGAACATTACTGTGTCGTTGCATATCAAATAACGCTTAATCAATATATAACTCAGTATTTTTCATCGTACGAAATGATTGCTTGCTACGTTTTGTCGATAGAGAAAAATACTTCTGAGGTTTCAAAACGTACAATCTATTTTTTTTGCATGTACTTATTACCGATTTACTTAGCAGCCGTTTTATGTATAGTATTATTTAAGTTTAATGACCACTTGGCTCATGCGGTCACGTCGTTATTTCCACATTTCGTTCACCGAAAACCCCGATTCATTGTCGCGTCGTTATTCAACATTTTTGACTTCCACCAAAAAGTTTTGATAATTATAAAACTTCCAACAATTCAGAAACCTGTCCGTATGTTTATATCATGATTTAAAATACCTGGCTTCCATTTAAGGACCTTAGTTCGTCATCTACAGATGAGACGGAGGACATTTCTATTTCCGTGAAGATCGAAGTTTGGCCAAAGGTAGGCGTACTACTACGCCTTAATACGTTGTCTAGTTTAGTTTGCAGATCATCATTTGTTAGTTTCAACTCTTCTAAATCTCTCTTCTGCCTGCGAATCTAAAGAAATAAATCTTTATAAAGATTATACTTGAAATATATAAAAAAGCACATTTAAAAAAGTAAAACAACGTTCTTAAAAGTTAGAAAGATGAATTTCGAAATTGAAATGAGCAGAATTCAAGAACTGTAAGAAAAAACAAAGAACTAATGCACAATGTTTGAAATTAAAACAACAGAAAATTGGAAAATTTTAAAAATTACCCACCTGTTGTTCTTGTTCTTTTCTATGCTTTTCTAACATCAATACTCGTTCATTTGACTCTTCTAATGAAACACTAAGCCCTTCTCTTTCTTCCATTAACCCTTGAATTCGATTCTCTAAGTCAGATTTCTTTTCAATTAGCATATCGATCTGTCAAAAAGTATTGAAAGAAAATCTGAAATATATATTTTTCATGGTGTTGAGAAAAGTACAGTGATGGCAGCACCATCTAAATAAATAGCGCTTTGGATGATGAATAAACATGTTTAGCAGACGACGTATGAATGATAGTATTATTTAGAATAATGAATTAACTTCACATGATCTCGCAATAAACATCTATACACAACCTATATACAATATGATACTTGTTTGTGGAATTTCGCGTAAAGCTACTTGAGGGCTGTTAGGGTAATTTTGAAGTGATATACTGGATGGAAGACAGTCAACACCACCTACCACCAACTCTTTGGCTGCTCTTTTACTAACGAATGGTGGGATTGACTGTATCATTATAACACTCCCACGGTTGAAAGGGTGAACATATTCGGTGACGGGATTCGAACTCGCGGCCCGCAGATTGCGATTGGAGTGACCTATCCATTAGGCCATGTCTAAAATAAAATATGACTACGAGGCAGTTTGCAATATTAAAAAAAATTATAAAGCTGAAACCGTTTTTCGTGGATTTTTGTCTCTCGCAGGATCGTTTCTACCGAGCTTCATGCCAGACACAATTATTCTGTCACAAACACGTATCCAAACTTCCCACGATTTTAACACTCCTTATTGGGAGTGGGGGGGGGGGGGATGAAACTTTGACATGTAGAAAACCTACCTCTTCTCTCAGTCCTTCTAGTTGAGACACGTGATCTGTAAGACTGGACCTACGCAGGTTAAACTGTTGTCGCAGGGATTTAACCTGGTTAGACAGCTGTTCTTCAGACTTAGTGGTCTAAAACAGAAAATTTATTTGTTAAGTCAAATGATTTAGCAGCACGGAAACTAATAAAGGTAGAACCAGTTGTTAATAGATGTATAAGTGTAGACCAATAACTATATGTTATCTAAACAATAGAACCAGTTGTTAATAGATGCAGGAGTTCATAACAAAACTTAATATAAGTGTAGACCAATAACTATATGTTATCTAAACAATAGAACCAGTTGTTAATAGATGTGTTATCTAAACAACATAGTTATTATAGTTATTATTGTAATTTCATTTTACAGCTCGAACGTACACAAGAAAGAAGTCTGGAACAGCATAAGAAAAAAAAAAATGAGGAAGTTAGACAGTTTTCTGTTCTTGTTTTGCATTAAACACAACATAATTATATTAAATACAATGAGAGAGCCGGGGATAAGAGATCCACCTCCTCCCCAAAATTATGGGTAAAGGAACACTTCCTCCACTAACCTGGGGGTAAATGGGTAACTATGAAAGTCGTTAGTTAAAACGGTGGAAAGGTCTTTCTTTCTCTCAGAGGAATTAAGACATGTTTCAGTTGAATGGAATTAAGTTACTTATACAATGCTGAATTCAGAAGTGGTACCTGTTTTAAAGCCTCGGTCAAACACTTAAACAATACTGAATTCAGAAGCAGTACCTGTTTTAAAGCCTCGGTCAAACACTTAAACAATACTGAATTCAGAAGCAGTACCTGTTTTAAAGCATCGGTCAGACACTTAAACAATACCGAATTCAGAATCAGTACCTGTTTTAAAGCATCGGTCAGACACTTAAACAATACTGAATTCAGAAGCGGTACCTGTTTTAAAGCATCGGTCAGACACTTAAACAATACTGAATTCAGAAGCGGTACCTGTTTTAACGCCTCGGTCAGACACTTAAACAATACCGAATTCAGAAGCGGTACCTGTTTTAACGCCTCGGTCAGACACTTAAACAATACTGAATTCAGAAGCAGTACCTGTTTTAAAGCCACTGGTCAGACACGTAAACAATACTGAATTCAGAAGCAGTACCTGTTTTAAAGCCACTGGTCAGACACTTAAACAATACCGAATTCAGAAGCAATACCTGATTTAACGCCTCGGTCAGACACTTAAACAATACCGAATTCAGAAGCAGTACCTGTTTTATAGCCACTGGTCAGACACTTAAACAATACCGAATTCAGAAGCAGTACCTGTTTTATAGCCACTGGTCAGACACTTAAACAATACCGAATTCAGAAGCAGTACCTGTTTTATAGCCACTGGTCAGACACTTAAACAATACCGAATTCAGAAGCAGTACCTGTTTTAAAGCATCGGTCAGACGCTGATTCTGATCTTGTAGCTCCTGAATGACGTGGTGCTTTTCCTTTTCTGTTGATTTCACTAGATTCCGATGTTCGTCTAATTCTCGGCGGAGTTCGTTCAAATCCGTCTGAAGTTCGGCAACTCGACTGTCATACTCTGCTTCTAAAATGTCTAGTTTTCTTTTCAAAGTATACTTCTCCTGCTCCAGTACCTGAAATAAACACAATAAAACACTAGCTGTAAGTCAACGTTATTGGTAAGGAAATACATAAAATTTCTGTTGCACGAAGTGTGGCTTTCGGAAAGCATTTCCAATAACTTCGTATACATTTTATTTGTAACGACCAAAACCAAACTTTTCATATACAGAAAATTATTTCAAATAAGTATTAATAATTACAAACACGTCCGAACATGAACGAGAAAGTACAAAGTTCTGTATGAAAATTTTCGTTCCTTGTTTACACCACAGTATTTGATTTTGACCAACAACAAAAACGTGTCTTGATGGAGAAGTGGAAACTTCTGCCATCTTAATGTAAATAACGCGCTGAATCCCGTATTCCTAAAGTCGACATTTAAAGAATTTGATGTTTATTACTAAGCACAAAGCTACCCAAAGGGCTATCTGTGCTCTGCTCATCACGAGTATCGAAACCCGGTTTCTAGTGGTACACGTCCGCAGGCATACCGCTGTGCCACTGGGGGACGAGATTTAAAGGTCAACTATCTGGTAATTAATTCAATAGCACTATGTCACTGTGTACTTTAGATTTAGACTTTATTGAATTTCTGGTCCAAAGGGCCAAGGTTCAAGCTGTTTAATATCACTGAATATGCTCCGTTCTTTCAGCTGTTAGACATTATAATCGTAACAGTCAATACCGCTATTTCATTACGAGTACTCGAATAGGCGGTTGGTGCTGATAACTGGTCGTCCTATGCCTAAATATTGGGATCTGTGATCTGGTCGTTTAGCCCACGTGCTTCGTAAGGAGGCGCTCAGATTGAAAATGCCAAATATCACGTGAATCGGGGATTATTATCCTTTATCTAAGGCAGTACCCTGTTGTAGGGCAAAATCTTCCAGTCTGTAAATTGTTCGAAGTGTCTTTTACTCGCTACTTAATCACGTGAACAAAGCTACAGCTAAAAAAAAAGTCTCGGCTTTCAAACTAAACGGTTTCTCACTGGTCACGCCATAGCAACTGGCGTCTTATTAAACATGGCTACAGAGATATTATCGTAAGAAAACTGTAACTAGCTGTTTCAGCATTGTACAATTAAGTGCAAGTCGTACGCTTTAGATTTTTCTTCTTTTGATACCGGCTTCACTTCACGATTCCTTTCAAAACATACTGGCGCGTGAGCTGAAAGGGGTTCGAAAATGAGCTACATAGAAACTGGAATGCTTTTGCAAGCGGCGTATAAAGAGTATCTTACTGTGTTTAAGATATCTTCTACTTGGTTGCAGTGGTGAGAAAAAGCAGTTACCTCTGGCCAGTTCAGTAATTAAACTGGATAAAGCTTCGTGCTATATTGTGGTGTTTTTGATATAAAAATAAAATCAACACTTTTTTCCAAAAAGTCCTCCGGTGGGACAGCGGTATGTCTATGAACTTATAACGCTAAAATTCAGAGTTCGATTCCCCGCGATGGACACAATAGATAGCCTAATGTGGCTTTGTTGTAAAAAATAAAAAATTTTTTTGCAAAAAACAACAACAGATATTCATTCTTTATTTAGTTAGGCCGCGTTTTTTGGTCAACTTGGGGCATGATGGTGGGTTAAACAAAATACGCGGCCTAGCTAACTAATGAATGAATATTTGCTTTAAAATTCTTATC